ATATGGAACTATCCTATCCCATGGAGGGGGGTGAGATGGAAACTATGGGATAACTCATCCAATGGGGATTAGACAATGAAATTACATTTTTGCCCTCTAGTATTTAATTATGTATTATATTTAGTAAAATTCAAAAAAATTTAAATGTCTCAATTTGAAAATAAAATAACTTTATTTTATTTTTATTTTTGTTTTGTTTATTTAATTTTTAAAAATATTTTTTATAGATATTTTATTGATGTTTTATTTTAAAATCTTGTTTATATTTTATTTAATTTCATTATTTAAATTTTAATAGATGTTTTATTTTATTTCATCATTTAATTATTATTATTATTTAAAATCAATTTATTTAAAATTTTAATTAAAAAAATAACATGTATTTTTATTTATATTTAATTTATTTAATTTTTTAAAAATAAATTTATTTATTTGTGCAAAAAATAAAAAAAATAAATTTTTATTTAATCTAGCTAAAAATAATTAAAATATTAAAGCTATGTTTAATATTGTTATTGCTTAGTAAATAATTGAAAAACATGAAATAGTTATTTGAGCATTTATCATTCTCTATGATATCCCAAACAAGCATTGGATAATTAAAAATAGTCTAATTCAGACATTTAATCCTATTTCTAAACAAACATAATACAAATTCAGTCCAACCAAATAGTCTCGGGACAATGTATTTCAAGATTAATAGTCCGATAGATTACAATCCCTCCTTATCCAGTCCGTACAAACAAACACACTCAAAATAAAATGATATTTCCCGATGCGTCCTTTCCCGTTAGTTAAATCAATTAATAATTATGTTCAAAAAATAAAAATCAATCAATTAGTAATTTTGTAGGATCAGACCAGACCAACAAAACTAACCAGCGCATGTCATTGGATTCTGTTTGCTCACTCTTTTTTTATCCTTTCCTTTTTTTTTTTTTAATATCTTTTTTCAAGAGAGCGAGCGCTTTGGTTATTCTATTCTTCATACAAAATTACAAAAGTACAATCATGAAGCTTCTTTTGTCCCCACCTATCTACCTCTTTCTTTGCCTTTCACACTCCTAAAAACCCACGGCCGGAGGGGAAGGGATGTCTGAGGGCCGGGATAAAATTAGGAGAAAATTATGAAAGGTTCTGATTTTTTGTTTTTGTGAAAAATATTTTTTGTTATGAAATTTAATATATATATATATATAATTATATATATAAAATAGTCCTCAGTATAAAAAACTATATATGTCATTCTTCTTCTATTTTATATTTTCTTTCTATTTTGCACTAAAAAAAATTCTTCATCTTATTACAAATGGCTCCTATAGTATTCATTTATTTATTTTTATGTACATATAATTTATATATCATATTATACATACATGTGCATTTTGTGTATGTGCTAAAAAATATATATTTTTCTTTTAACCTTTCCGATAATGAAATTTTGGTTCTGTCTCTAGTCGAGAACTACCTATAGATTGATCCACTACAATCCCATCCAAAATTGTTTCAATACTTACTATCTGTTTATTTGGACAAAAAATATTTTTTTATATCTTTTGATATTTGCTACAATTAAAAATGAAAATTAACAGAAAACAAATCTATGTAGGCGAAAAATGTTTTCTCCCTTTATAAGGCACAAAATGTTTTTCGGACTAAAATTTTACTAAGATCATCACATTACTACTACCACTCTCACCTCTACCACCACACAACCACTGCTACCATCATCGTCGTCGCTATGATAGCCGCCGCCACCCCACCACTTACATCTCCACCTTCGTTCCACTATCACCACCAGATATAGAAAAATATTTTCTGCAGAAAATATTTTTTGAAAAAAAAATTCATAAAAAATATTTGCTGCCAAAACAAATGGAACGCTAATAATGCCTTTCTTCACCATTATTGTATTTCCAAATGTATCAATGAAGATCATCTACTTTTTTTCTTTTTTCTTTTTTTGTTTGTTCCTTACACTTTGATTTATGAAGATGTTCATGTCAGTAAAAATAATATTACACATCAATCAAATTCAAAAAAAAAGAAGATAAAAGAGTGCATGAAACGAGATACCTGACACCCCTACACAAAATTTCAAAATTTTATTTATTTTCTTCAACGATACATATTTAATGCAGTAATTGATTATGATTAACCTAACAATTTAAGTTTTATTAGGGAAACAATTTAGATTCCTAAATTTGCATTGACTTGAATTTGAGCACTCATATAATATGTCTAATAAAAAAAAAGAAAGAGAGAGAATAAATTTAACTTACATTCCTTTATACCAAAGAAGAAACAAAGCATGCCGATAAAATAAAATAAAATAAAATAAAAAGAAACAAAGCTGTTAGTAGACTTCATGTTAAGTGACGGACCACCATACACTTGTGTTCATTTGTGTTCAAATTGATGAAAGTTGTAAGTATCCAACATTCAACATACAAAAGTTTTAAAGACCAAATTTGTTCCTTTTTAAAAAATTGTAAAAAAATATCAGAAGACTAACGCCAACCGTGTTATTTGGAAAAGTTTTTTTTAAAAAAAAAATTTAGCAATAAAATTTTTAAAATATCGCTAATAAGACAAAACAATTTTGTCCAAGAAAGACAGTAATTCATTATTAAATATTTAATTTCGTCACTAAAAATATAACAGTGACATTTTTGACAATTAAGATATTTGTTCTATAAAAAAAGCAATTTCATCCCTAAATTTTTTGTTTCGAAAATATCAATTTATTGTAGTGATTGTTGAAAACAAAAATTATTTAATTGAATTTGGAGCTTGTGAACATTCCTTCTCGTCACGTTTTAGTCTACTAGTATAAGTTTTATTAGTTAGAAATGCTTTGTGAAATCGAGAATCAATCAAAATATAAAATGATCAAAGTTACAAAACTGTTTTTCAAGTCCAAGAGAAAAGGGAGATCCAATCCACTATCAAACAATCGAATTAAAAGAGAGTCGCAGCATCTCTACCACAGTTCGTCATACCATTTTATCCATACATACAACCCAAAAAAAAAAGAGATTTATTTAACACACACACAAAAAAAAAATCCGTCGTGGGATAAAAGTGAGCTATATATAAAATTTAACCAGATTGACAAAGCCTATCCATAAGCAAGAAATTTTTTAGAGTCCTTGAGGAGATGGTAAATTATTTGGTTCGTCCTTCCATTGTTTTCATTGTCATCGTCTGTCAGGATTCAGATATATATAGGAATATAGCAAATGATTTTGGACAGTCTATTGGGCCGAACGAATGCAAACTCTGCCCATTTAACCTTCAACTACATGACCGTTAATTGGGCCCAGTGAACCCCACTATAAGCCGTGGATTATTTCTCTCTCTCACACTCTCGGATCAATTTGAGCCATGGCATGCCACCACCGCATAAAATGAGAAAAGGATGGCCAACACATAAAATGGTGATTTGGGATGATATAAATAAGTATATTTTTTAATTTTTTATGAAATATAAATTAGATAAGAATTAGGTTTAAAGTCATGTGATAGAGAGATGATATAACTTAAATAAGATGATGTGATTTAAATAAAATAATAATTTTTTAACTTTTTTAAATTATGACAAATAAAACTTAAATCTCAAAATGAAAACAAAAATGCTAGAGGTCCCAAAAATTCGACTAAAATTTTTACCAAATGTCTCACATAAGACCCACATTATATGGGTCTTACACTCATATAAAACATTTAATAAAAATTTTAATAAAATATTTGACGTCCTAACATTACTCAAATCAAAATGTTTGAAAAGGTGGTTACTTCACTCCTTGAGGTCAAAATGTCCAAGGCTCAATAAATATTGTGGACGATGATGACGTCATTTCACGTGGTGTCATTAGCTTAGTGAATAATAAATAATAAAAAAATTGCCTAAAAGTTCCTTGTACAAAGTGTATGTTGTGTTGTGTGAAGTTCAACATTATTTTTTTTTCATCCATTTGTTGGATAATAAAATTTTACTGTATACTTTTATTTAGTTAAATTTCAAAACTAATATGGATTTTATTTAATAATTTTTAATGAGATTATTTCAAAATACAATTTTTATACAAATATAAACATTTACATTAGAAGTTATAAATTATATGAACATAGTTTTTATATAGAAATTTTATAAATAATAGATGGTTGTTTGTGGTTATTTCATTTTTAGTCAAAACACTCATTATTGTGTTCCATAATTACAACCATGTCATTGTTATATCATTGTAAATTAAAAATTCTTAATTGAGTACCCTAAATTCAGAATCAGGATTCTCTCCTTAACTTATCCTTGACTTCTTACTTGTTGGGCCATTGGGCCTGCTTTTAGGCCCAATTTTGATGATCTGAACTGTTTACATTTTAAGATTTGTTGAGTATATTATACCTGTAAAAAATCAAGTTGATCGAATATCAGAAAATATGTGTTAAGAAAACTGTTTACTAAACTTTTAAAAAAATGGTTTTTAATTCGATGATACTAACACGTAATTTCTGATATCCGATCAACTTAATTTTTTACAGGTATCATATATTCAATAAATCTTAAAATGTGAATGGTTTGGATCATAAAAATTAGGCCTAAACATGGGTCCAATGGCCCAACAAGTAGAGAGTCAATGAGAGAATCCTGATTCCTAAATTCATCCCCAATAACATGAAATGGACCATGTAAAGGGGTGGACTCACACTTCTCATCCCTCGTCTGTTGCTCATTCTATTTATAAACCACTTTCTTATGAAATTTTAGACATTGAAAAATAATTTTGGAATATTTGGTAAAGGAGGCATTTTGCATTCAAGAAGTGGTCATTTGTCTTTGGTAGAGGAAAATCTTTAACCATGTCCTGTTTGAAATAAAACTAGTTGGAGGGAGAGCTCCACAGAATGTCCCATTAAAAAAATGAGACGGGATGATCGATCCTTATTATATATATATACATATATTGTTATTAACCCAGCAATATAGTTATCATTTTATCATAGTATGAAATTTCTCATTAATTAATGATACCATCATGTAATATTACAATTATACCCACTGCATACCAATCCACACACACCTCATCAGTTATCCAATAAAGCAATTACACAAATTTAAGTTAACCTAAGAAATGGAATTTGTTTTGTGAGAATTGTATAAAGTTAGCTAGTGAATGTTGTTCTGTTGAGTTCAGTTAATAAGTGGCAAGAAAAATGATAATGATGTGATTTGATATCATGGAGAATGGAAAAGAGGGGTGTGGGCAGGGGTGGTGGTGTGGTGGAAGATATCAGCAGGAGGGATGAAGGAATCGAGGGAGAGACCGGGGACGTTGAAGACGACATCGTCTATTCTCCAGACTTCTTCCAGTCTAGTCCTGCTCATGTACTGATGATGGTGATGATTATGATCACCTTGTTGTTGTGGTTGTGGCTGCTGCTGCGGCTGCATGGCCATGGATAAGTCTCCAAAGCGGAAGACGGTGGCGATGGTTCTACCTTGGTGAGCGATCAAAACTCCGTCCACGTCTCTGTAGTCTCCGATGCTACTCCCTATTGTAGTCTCCCAGTACATGGTGTCCTCATCGTCAAACTCATTCACATTATTGGGATTGAGATTGTTGGTGTTATTTCCAGATGCAGATGCAGATGGAGATGGAGATGGAGATGGAGACGATGCAGATACTCTGATGAGGTGGGAGTCCTCCATGTAGATGAGAAGGCCACTCTTTTGGGAGAAATAGCCATAGAGTACGTGCCTTATGACTTCGGCTGGGCCCTCGCTTCTCTCCATAACAGCCTCGCGGTCTGCGGCTACTTTCAACACGAAGCAATCATCCTCCCCTATTCGTTTCTCTCCCAAGCATTGCGCTTTCTCAAACAGCCTTGCTGTGCTCTTCGGATCTAGTCCCTGCAACCCCAACCCACACCACACCATTTAATATCCCTCTTAATATTCATATATATATATATATATATATTCATTCTCTTCGGATCTAATGCCTCCATTTTTCTTTTTGGATAAACTATAATTAAGCATTTTTTTGGGTGAATACTATAAATAAACATGAGATTTACATAAAATATACATTATACACATTGTTGTAATAATTTTAAAAATTGCTTAAAATATCCATTCTTATGTGTCACATTTTAGAGGCTTTTTTTTTTTTTAAAAAAAAAAACCAAATCAATATGCATTTTCTATTTACATATAAAATCTTAAGCAAACTCAATTTCAATTATAATAACCACTTTTATATATACTCTATTTGATATATATACTTATTTTTCATATATTTTTCATCGTGTATTACGTTTTGTTGTTGTCGGATCTCTTTTATAGAGTTGATATTTTAATTTAATTATTATGATATTTGAAACAAAAATTATCTCGATATACAAATAAATAAATAAGAAATAATATGTTTAATTATCGCATTGATCAAATTAATTTCTTTTATTTTATTTTAGTTTTTGTCTATCTTTTTGATATCTTAATATTAATTTATATTTAATTTTTTATTTAACATGAAATCATTTATTACAAAACATTTATATGTAATTTAAATTTTATATACCTATATACAATATGTATGAATAATTCAAAAAGAATATTAAAGAAAAAAAAATCAATACTCTACATAATTAATTTACATATTTTCTTCTTCATTCAATCATAACATATTTATATTTAATCTTTTAATTTTTTTTTGTACAATTCTAATTCTACATATTTTTATTTTCCAAATAAATATAAAAGTAAAAATAAAATAAAATAATTCAAATCACTTTTAGTTTTATATTACTAATTCTCTTTCTAATTTAACTATTATTTTTAATATCAAAATGAGTATTTATTGTACTATTTAATAATTTGATTTATATATCATATAAAATTATTATATGATAATTACACTTTTATAGCATAATAGAATTAAAATTATCAAAATAAACAAATAATTTAACTAAATTTATTATATATAAGTATTCAAATAACACTTTTATAAAACGATAAGACTAATATTATTTAAATAAATAATTAGAATTAAAATTTTATTTTAAATTAAAATAAATATTATTATTTTCTAACACATATCATAATATTACAGTGAGCTATAACTAAGTCATAATTTGTGTATTATAGAATTTTTTGTTGTTTTTATTTTTTTCAAAAAAAATAATATTTGGATACAAATGGAATTCATAGTTTTTGATAAATTTGATTAACACAAATGATGATTTGATTTCAAGTTAAAAATATACATTTTTTTTAATAATTTTGAAATAAATTATTTTTATGAACATTTTACATAGAATCACATATAGTAACAAAAAAAAATCATCAGCCTACATGTAAATTATTAAGTCTCAAAATCAATTTTTCATTTTAAAAATAAATTCTCGTACATAGCATAGGTCACCTCCTAGTTTTTAATGATATGAAATATATTTCAATTAACAATTCTGTTAAATAAAAAAATTTAAAGGTGTATTTGAATATTTGAATGAGAAGACTAATATTATTAAAATAAATAATTCGCATTTTAAAAAAATAGGTATATTTGTAATTTATTCTTTCTTTTTTCATCATAACAAAAAATATGACATTTTTATGGGGTGAAACACCAATAAATTCTAAAATGTAATTTTATAAATTGTTTAGTCCTCTATTCTTTCTTATGCACCTAAAGGTCCCATTAAAGTGAAAATTGCACAAAAAAATAGTCACTTACGCGTTTGTGTTTAATTTTTAAGGAATAAAAATGAGTTTTTTTTTTTCCCCTTCTAAATGTGAAATTACACACACTATAGAGGTTTTGAATTTTTCATTATTTTAGAACAAATCTCACATTACGAAAAAAAATGTAACACTCTATTAATACAACACTCTAATGTAACACACTAAAATACTCTTTAATGTACTTTTTCTAAACATAACAATGTAGAAATCCAAAAAAATTCATTAATATACTTTTTTCCAAATGTAACACTCCAATGTAACATACAAAAAAATTTCTTAGTGTACTTCTTACAAACGTAACATTCCAATCAACATAATTTCAAACGTAACACGCTAATATAACATATACAAAAATACTAAAAAAATTCCTCAGTATATTTTTCCAAGCGTAACATTCATAGTTTGAAATTATACATTTGTCCAAAACTTATTAAGGAATTTTTTTACTCATTTTGGAATGGTTTGAAGAATCCCATATCATTTTTTTGAAGTGTCACATTAGAGTATTACATTCGGGAAAAATCGCCTAAAGAATTTTTTTATGTGTTACATTGAGGTATTACATTAAGGAGTTTTTTAAGAGTATTGTATTGGAATGTTATGTTTGACAAAAGTAAATTAAATAGTTTTTTTAGAGTGTTACGTTTAAGTGTTACGTTATAGTGTTACAATTTAAAATTATATGTTTGTCTAAAACTTACTAAGGAGTTTTTTATACTCCTTTTGAAATATTTGAAGAATTTCACATCTTTTTGAAATGTTTGGAAAATCTCATATTTGAAATTATTTTTGTAATTCTTCTAAAATGTTTTCCAAATAAAAAAGATTTTCATATAAAAATTCATCCCAAATTTGATTCTCATAAATTGTGTATCTTACCTTTCTAGCACAAAAAAAAAAAAGAAATAAAAAAGAAAGCATAATAGAAATAAGGGTATAATTATAAATTTAATTTTCAAATAATATATTAAATCTAACTTTTCAAAATCAATGAAACTAGTTAGTCTATAAATTTTTTTTTTTAAAACTAAACGAATTACAATAGTAAATTTTCACTCACCGAAGTCAATAATGTAACAATTATATTATTACTTGAAATTTGAAAAAAAAAAAAAAATTATTACACGACATCAAACAATGAACAAATAAATAAATAATTGTAAGTTTTGTTAGGTTTAATTCGAGTTGGTGGGTAGATGGGATGTCTTAATTTTTGTGATTTGGTAGACCAACGACCTTCGGATCCTAAATCAACATTCTCAACGTTTAAAGCAACTGGCATTGAAATTAACTAGGGAATTCAGTGTAAATTAAAATTAAAAAAAAAAAAAAATTGAAATCATTAGTAAACTTTATATACATTAATTATTGAAGTTATAATTTTTTTTTAATAATTCTGTAATAATTTTATGATAGAACCACTTATAAGGAATATCCCCAATCAACTATCGCCTCCTTAAAGGGGCAATTTTCATAGATTCTAGGAGGTTGTCCTTCTTTTGATTGGTTTAATATTTATGGGAATAAAATTATTTTCATCACTTTTTATGTATTTATTTATTTAGTATTTGATTCAAAGATCACAAAACTAATAAAATTCATGTTGTTGAATGAAAAACAGCATAGTAAGCAAAAGAAAGTTAATAAGATATATAAAAGTGATACATTCTGTAGATGCTTAAACGCTACGGGCATGGACCTTCATTCTTATTAGGATAGAAGATGTAAACAGGGACTAATTGTGGGGCGGCTGGCAAGACAACCACTAACCCCCGAAGTTTTAATTTTTTTAATTTTTTTTTTTAAATAGGATGATATTAATTATTAATATTTATAAATTATATAAGTTTGTTTTTTTAACAGTTTTTAAAAATATTTAATGGGACTTAAAATATGTTAGATATTACATAATGAATATTTTTATCAATGCAAAAAAATATTTTATTAATGTGTACTGTGATGATACATATAAAAAGTTTAAAATATTATATTTTTAATAAAAATACTTGTAATAAATAATAATGTTAGACATACTAAAAATTTTATTAAAATTTTTGTTAAATATCTTATTCTATTAAAATTTTTATCAAATATAAGACCCATAATACACTCATCACATTTGATAGGGTCGATAATATTTTTTAGCAAAAATGGTAGAGGTCTCAAAAATTTTACCAAAAATTCTACCAAATGTCTCACATAAGTGTGGAACCCACATGAGATCCACATCGTGTGAAACTTTTGATAAAATATTTAGAATCTCTAACCTCGCTTATTTTTTAGATCCAAAATATAAAAAGCAAAAGAGGAAAGATAAATGCTATTGCTCTAAATGCAAATCCCGAGGAAGTCAGGGATGACGTCACAAAGTTTAATCACATGTTTCCTTTCTCGAAGTTATAACTCTCTGATCTACTATATCTATCGAAAAAATGAAAGTTATATACGTCTATAATGAGTTGTTCTGATCATCACAAAAGACAAAGTTAAAAAGAGTACAAAGAGATTGTGGCGTGCGTGGTGCTATGGTTTGTCTGGGAAAGTATGAGACAGACTACACACTGCTTTATCTTTATCAGTCGTTACATTATTAAATTAATACTGTTTGCTTTACCATTTTTATTTAAACTCTACGTTTTTGTTTAAAAAAAACACGAAAGGCTAATATAAGAAGTGTTTATGGAACATTATTTATAATAATAAAAAAAATTGCATAAAGAAGTATTTTAAAAATGATAATCGTTTTAAATTTTATTAATTATTTCTCTTAAGACTCTTATTAAGAAGACCATGAATGACATTAATCACGACAATGGCAGTAATTGGACTGTTAAAAAAACTAAAAAATGAATTTGCGTAGATTTTTTATTTAAATTATAAATAAAAGATAAATTTTATATACATTAATTATTAAAATTATAAACTATGTCATGAATGTGTAATAATTTTTTGATTGTACCACTGTTGCATAACTTTTTCTGAAAAAAAGGAATAAAAGTACCCTAATAAATAGACTTTATATATATAGACATGCAAATTAAGAGTATCAATCATCGAAAATGCTCTGAACTTAGAACACATGTCAAAGTTGAGATTTGATTTAATTAAAAAAAGGTTGAAATTTGACAAAAACACTCCAAAAATGAACCCTAACTATTGCATTATGACAATTTGACAATTTTTTAAATTTATTTTTATCATTTATGATAGATGTGACTCCCACATAATATTTTTATTTGATATTATGAAAAAAAATGCGTAGTAATTACGTTATTATGAAAAACAAATAACAAATTCATAGATATTTTCGAAGTAGAGTAACCTCTAAGAATTGGATGTCAAAATTTAACTTTAACATAAACTTCTGAACATATAGGGGTGGGCAACGGTTTATCCGAACCGCTCAAACCGCCCAATCCACCCAACCCGCATATAAATGGGCGGTTTCGCAAACATAATAAAATGAATTTGCATAGATTTTTTATTTAAATTATAAATAAAAGATAAATTTTATATATATTAGTTATTAAAATTATAAACTATGTCATGAATGTGTAATAATTTTTTGATTGTACCACTGTTGCATAACTTTTTCTGAAAAAAAGGAATAAAAATACCCTAATAAATAGACTTTATATATATAGACATACAAATTAAGAGTATCAATCATCGAAAATGCTCTGAACTTAGAACACATGTCAAAGTTGAGATTTGATTTAATAAAAAAAAAGGTTGAAATTTGACAAAAACACTCCAAAAATGAACCCTAATTATTGCATTATGACAATTTGACAATTTTTTTAATTTATTTTATCATTTATGATAGATGTGACTCAAAAATAAAATTTTTATTTGATATTGTGATAAAAAATGCGTAGTAATTACGTTATTATGAAAAACAAATAACAAATCCATAGATATTTTCGAAGTAGAGTAACCTCTAAGAATTGGATGTCAAAATTTAACTTTTAACAAAAATTTCTGAACATATTTATATATATATATATATTTTTTAAAATTTTCTAAATATAATGTTAGTTTCTGAGTATATATAATGTTGATTTTTTAATTTAAAATTTTCTAAATATAATGTTAGTTTCTGAGTATATATAATGTTGATTTTTTAAATATTTATTTTACGATATATAATAGTATTATTCATTATTAAATAATTTAGTTGGACAGAGGATGGAATTAATTGAAAGAATAATATAATACAATACCTGGATGATACGACGTAAAGGACGATGGGGACCTTTGGCGAGATGAGTGCCCAGCCAAGGGGTATGTCTCCAAATGATCTTGCCGTCGCTGCCGGCTATCACCTTATGATGATGACCGCTTCCGCTTCCGCTTCCGCTTCCGCCTCCCAACACCAGCTCCAGGGACCACATCCCTGGATTCATTTGCCACAGCACGAAGCATCCATTCTCCCCACTTCTCCTCCCTAAACTCTTCACTGACGCTCCCGATGACGATGACGATGATATCTCTGTCTCGCAACATATCATCTTCACCATCCCTGTCGTGTACATATTCTTTATTACTCTTCCTCCGCCTCCTCCTCCTCCTCCTCCATTAACATTACCATTACCACCACCATTACTCTTCTTCTCCTGCTGTTGCTGCTTCTTCTCTAAACATCCTGTCGCCGCCAGGTATTGTTGTATTATGTAATGCGCCGTTGAACTTTCCTGAGATCATTCATCATCATATATTTAACAAATACACACGGAGGAGTACCCTACCTTATTATGTACATACATACATGCATACATACATACATATATGGAATGGAGTAGTAGAGAAAAAAGAAAAGAAAAAAAGAGTAGAGTAATTATTTAACTTACAATGGGAATGTCTTTAATAAAGTGGAGTGGACGGTGAATAGTAGTCGGGATATTATTATGAATGTCAATGGAGAGAGGAATGGGGGCGAGCGGACAACCCAATACGCCAAGCAGAAGCCTTAAATCTTGCCTCCTGGCCGGAATATTGGTCCCGTTGTACAACATCGAAAAGCCGTTATTATTGTAAATGCTTCCTCCTCCTCCTCCGGGGATATTCTGGTTGTTCTTGTGTAATCGAAACCATTCCCGAATGACATCCCAAGAGCTTTCCTTCTTGGTTCCTTCATGATCTTGCATTTCAAGATCCGGCCCTTCCATCAGAGGCGTCAGTGCTTGCACGCTCCATCTCTGCTTCCTTCTTCCTCTCGACCCCATTTTCTTTCTCTCTTTCTTTACAATTAACTATGCTCACCAAATTTAAAGAAAACAAACAACAAGACGCTCAAGTAAGGGGAAGAAAAAAATTATTATTTCTGCTGAGAGAGTTGATAATAATGAGTTCTCATCTGAAAAAAAGCCATTGTACTGTTGTGTTTTAAAGGAGCGAGAGAGAAGAGATAGAAGCGGCAATTAATACGAAGCAGACCCAGTGCTAAAGAAAGGCAGAGGGAGAACAAACAATGTTGCTTAATTTGTAGACCTAAAGGGACACCCCATCTGTCCAACGGCAGTCTCATATGTGGGCCAATACAGCAACTGTGAGACACTTTCTACACTTGTAAATTAAATTATTAATTATTTTAACTTGTACAGTAATTAATAAAACATTCAATAATTTAATTTGTATCGTCTTTTTTTTTTTTTAAGAAAAAATTACAATGGAGTGAATTTTTCAAAAAATAATTACAAATTCATGAAAAGATTTATGCTTTTAATTATTAATATTTATAAAGTTTGCTATTGATTTATAATTATTTTTTAAAAAATTTCTCTCTCTTTTTTTTTTAGTACGATTGAGTTTATTGGCTATGCTGTGGCCAAATAATTTTTAAATAAAGAAAATAATATTTTTAAAATAATGTTTCTCCTTTCTAATAATTTTTGAAGTGATTAAAGTGAGTTTTTTCACGAGAAATGATTTTGCCAAATAAGTTGAGATTCTTTTTTAAAAAAATAAAAAAAATAAACTTTTTCAACCTATAAACTGATTTGTAAGGCACTGTGAAACAAGCCTAACTTTACTTTCAAATGATTGATTACCTTTACCTAGCCAATGAAAATATAACGTGCACCAAATCATCTCCTGTTTTTTAGTTCCATTAGTCAAAAAAATCATAATAATTAGAAGAATGTACTTAATCAAGAGCAGAGGACAAACTTCACTTTAATTTCATATGATTTGGGTTATGTGTGATTTATTCATTTAACGATTGGAAATGACTCTCTATTTCTTTATGATTTGTGAACTCAAGTTGTTGGTTATATATTTTGTACAGGCCAGTCGCAGCTTAACACGTGGCTCATGAATGGTGTTTTGGGGAATTAATGCAAGTCTCCAATTAGCAATGGACACGTGACAGTTCATATTGATAATGGTGGGTCTACGTTACACAGAAGCAGTGAGAAAGCGTGGAGTAATATGGCCCAACGGTTACTCAAAAGTTCAAATTTAAATGCAAAAAGAAAGCCTAGCTAAAAGAATGACGTAGTGGAAGCTGATTGTGTAAAACTATGACCAGAGACCGTGGAAGTGCATTTCGACGGTTACTACTAAAGATGAAGTGACAATTAGAATTCTCTCAGGTGATAAAAGGGCAGCCAAGACTATAGGAGAAGTAAAATGAGATGAGATGAAAGATAGATGGGGTAGATATGGAGTTAAACCCGAGCATGAGAAAGGTGAGATGCTTTGCTTCAAAAAGGAAGGCATGAGGAATATAGAGCTGGGAAGTAGAAGCATTATCTGAATGAGCTCTATACTCATTGGCACTTCAGTATTAGCCTTCCTTGTTCCTTTTGAGGCTAAAAAGCCGACGTCAAACGAAGAATGATTACTGCTGCATTTTAGAAAATAGAAAGAAAATGTTAACTCTTTGTTAAGTCTTGGAGAGGGAATCAAAAGAAATTAAGGAAAAAATTACCAGCTTCAGAGGTTACGATGGTGATGATTGAAGAGCTTCGAAGGGTATAGAGCTCAGCAGTTTGTTTCTTCTTTGCAGCCTCATTTTGTATTACTTCAGTAGCAGCAGTCTCTTCTCTTTGCATTTGTTGTTGTCTCATTTTCTCGGACCTTTGGAAAACAATAATTTCTTTGGAATGCTTTTGCTCCACTATTCTGGCAGCTACCTCATGAGTGAGGTCTTAGGAAAAATCAGAAGAAGAAACTGCCATTTTCTTTCTCCTCTTAAGTGGGGCTTCTTTTTCCTTTGCTGTTTCCTCCTCTTCTGCAAGAGTTTCAGCCACATTTTCTTTACGATCAAGCAAGAGTTTCATTTTCCTTTGTTGTTGTTGCTTACCCTTAAGAATGCTCAAAGCTTGAGCTCTCTGGGAGAGTTTTCCTGTAGAGTTCCTACACTAAGAATAAAAGCTATAAGTAAATAAGCAAGACATCAAAAAAGAAAGAGAAAGGGAAAATTGTAATGCATACATATCTTCGAAATAGCCCTGGTGATTCTTGGAGGAGGAGGTGAGGCAGTAGGAGCAGATTTAGAGACAACATGAGTAAGAGTTGGGATGACAGAGGCAGTGAAGGCAATAGTAGTGGTCCCAGTCTCTTTGGACTTAGCTTGAGAGGACACGTCTAACCCTACCAACAGATCCTGAGGAGAGATAGCCAGGAGCACCTCCATATTGGTTGTCCACCAATTCTGGTACTTCCTCAATGTAATGTTGTGTGGGATGAAGGGAGTGAACCTGAATTCGACCAAGTCTTGTATCAACTTGGAAGTTACCTTATCTAGCCTGGTTCTTGGCACCGTCAGGTCTTTGGTTGCAAGATTGGGGTTAGTTTAGCTGCAGAGAGGGACAAGAATTCTTTGAGTAAGCTCAAATTGCCTAGCAAATTGGGCAGGGCAGTAGAGTTCAGCAATACACTTATAAGCTTGAAAGTTCAAGGTACCAATATAGAGCTCTCTTTGAATCAAAATAGAGGCAGTGAATGGGGTTAGAGCAGGCATTGTCAGCCAAGAAAGTCCTCAGCCATGTTGGCCTTATGTTAGCCACAAAGAGGCAAGAGAAGGTGGAAATGAGGGAAGCTGGAAGTTAATGGAAGAAAGTAAAGTAATAAGCAAAGCTAGAAGGGTAGAGTGAAACTCTGGCATCCGTCATTCCATAAGTAGTAGGGTCTTGCACCAAGAATCGCAAGTACCTGGAATGTAAGTCAGTGAAGTAAGTGAAAAGTTAGAGTTACAACACCCAGAGTGGTCCTCCTTGGCTGGCATCGAGGGGTTTCTCATAAAATTAAGAGCAAGCTCTATATACATGACCCAGTACATAAGGAGCTAAGGATATCTTCTTAGCCGAAGCAAGAGCCTTGGCAACATGGGCGAATTCAGGCATAATTCTCTGTGAGGAGGTACAAAATAAAAATTTGCAGAGCCAATATAAGAGAAAAGAAAAGAACTCCTGATCAGTCATAGGGCCTTCCTTTTTATTCTCAGACTTCACAAAATCACTAAAGGAAGAAGTCAGAGGGGGAATAAAGAAAGGAACATTAAGATCAGGATAATCAAGACCGAAAGGAGTACCAGCGGATGATAACCTTAGAAGATGGAACATGTCAAGGACAGTAGGGGCCATCATGCCACGCCGAAATTGAAAAAAAAATTGAAAGCTGGGTTCTAAAAACAAAGAGCAGTAGGTATGAGAAAAGGGTCTTTAGTAATGAAAAACCTAACTAGTTGAAGGGCGCAGAGAAAACAGAGTTCTTGGAGGTCCAGCATCCTGGCAGGAACAACTCGGTCGTACCATTCCTTCCATTTTGGCCTCAATGTGGGCTAGCAGTGATGAGAATGGTTTATCTTCCAGCTTCCCCAATCAAGGCCACCCTCGTAAAGGAGGTATTGATCCTCTAAGCGCAAGAAGAGGGGATTTTAAACCTTTCTGTCCAAAGTTACCCATTTAATATAATGGGTTAAATGGACCCAAGTTCTAACCCATATGTGATTAAGGCTTTTATTTTAAAATCCCTAAGAACATAAGGAAGAAAGCTATCTCTGAGCCAGTGTGTGGATACCTTATGAAGGAGGGAAACACATTTCAGACATTCAGTTTGGCTTTGAAAATGGTTAGTTGGCTTCAAAGCCAGTTTTCAAGTACTTAGTGTAGCTTTGTAAACAGGTAGTTGGCTTTGAAACCAGTCTTGTACCTTACATTCAAGCATAATTGAGATTTATCCACTTCAGGAATCTTGGAGGTCTGCTTTTAGACTTTCCAACGAAAGAGATTTCCTTCGAAGGATCTTTGAAATGACCTATGATTAGAATATAGTTCTTGCCTATTCTTTCAGCACAAATAAGCGCTATGAAACCAGTTCTTGGTTGAGCAATATAAAAAGTCCAAGAGCCAAAGGACTTATCCTGCACTTTTGCTTAGGTAAGACCCTGCGAAGGCAAAAGTGGTCATTCTTAAAGACAAATTTCATACTTCGAAACACCTGAGCCAGGCCTCGAAGCAAGATTGATCAGTTCGAAGTTGTTATTTTATGCAGGCTATGTTAGCCATATGCTTGGAATGTGAAAACCCAAGGCAAATATGGACACTCCTATGAGAAAGTCCATGTTTCGAAGCACTTAAAACCAGGCATCAAAGCAAGTTGGTTTATTTGAAACTGCTATTCACAGATTACATAGAAAAAGTAAGAAGTGAAGTTATATTCTTCATGGAATCAATCATGCAATTGAAATATAAAGCCAGATCATGACAAATGAGATTTGAAGAACTTATTTTTATTGATATGCAATATTTACATTGGGAAAAACTACTTGGTTACATTCTTAATTTCAAAAAAATAAGGAATGGACAAATTTACAAGATCATGAAACTTTGTCTAGCAAAATTCAATAAATACATACTATTTTTCTAACCTATCTTCTACCCTATCTAAATTTGGTTTATCTAACCAATGAGCCCTTAGTTGAAAGAAGAGTTGTTAGGCTTTCATTTCAAATTCTGTTTGTCTAAGAGCCTTCTCTATTTCATCCACTCCTCCTTTCTCATGTGCATTGCCCATAATGACATCTTCTCCATACTCTAAATCTTGGTTCTTAAAGTCTTCATATTATTCAAAAAGATTCTCTGCTTTGTACTAAATTTGAATACGAGTAGTAGAGGTGTTCTCCAACAACTCACTGGTAATAGAAGTGTTTGTGTTCTAGTTGAGCAGAAGAGGAAGTTGATCCAAGAAAGTATAAAGCTCTGCCTGGGCTATAGGGTTAAGGATGTGGCTTCGAGAGATAATATCACAGGACCACAATAAGTTCTTGTGAGGAATGTCATCTTGAAGGACTTCAAAGGATAAATGGGAAAAAGCGGCAAGCAAAGCCTGGGCTCTATACTGTTGTTAAGCAGTAGGAAGAACTGGGGCTTGGTAGGGAGCAAAATACTGGGTCTCGAAGAGGGTGAGTTTCAGGTCTTCAACCCAGTTAGGATTGGAGGACAAGGAAA